GAGTCGCTGCCCGCGTCCGAGCCCGCGTTGAAGGTCTCCAGGTCGATGAAGGACGGCCGCTCCCGGCGGAAGGTCAGCACCAGCTGCTCCACGAAGACCGTCAGGAAGAAGCCCAGAAGCATGAGCGTCTCGGCCAGCGGGTAATCGGTGCTGATGTGGCCCAGACTCAGCACCTGCCGGAGCTGCAGGGGAACAGGCCGGGGACAGGCCATCAGCAGGGCCGGTGAGGCGCATCTGCACACCGGCCCAAGGCCGCAAGATGAGGGCCCAGCATGGGCCACCAAGCCTGTAATCCCAGTTACTTGGGAGGCTGGCTATCAGGAGGATCACTGTCCAAAACCAGCCCAGAGCCAAAGGTGAGAGACCCCATCTCAACCACTAAGTCAGGTGTGATAGCTTGTGTCCATGATCCCAGTTATGCTGGAGGCATAGGGAGGAGGATGGTAGACCCAGCCTGGTCCAAGCAAAAAAGACCCTACCTGAAAAGTAAAGCAAAAGGGTTGGAGGGGGTGTGTGGCTCCACGGGTAGCACTTCTCCCTAGCAAATGCAAGGCCCTGAGTTCAAACCCAAGTACTGCCCAAAACCAAGACGGATACCAAACCAAAGATCCTATTGCTGGCGCATCAAAAGGCCCCCACGAGGTAAGGTCACCTGGAACTACAGAACACGGCATCATTTGAAAGGGCTCAGATATAGTAATTGTCGTCCATCCCCCTCCCCCAAATCATATATTGCAGCGTCCTATCTCCTAGTATGTCAATGCGGACACAGCTGCAGCGAGAGCCTGTACAGAGGGGTCTGTAAAGGACTGACGGCTTGAACAATGAAGACACACAGAGAGGCAGGGAGGCCAGGCCTCAGCAGGGCCTGACAGCAGGCAGTGGCCACACCTGGCACCCTGGCACCTGGGAGACTGAGGCACGAGGAGCAAGAGTTCCAGGCCAGTCTGGCTGCGTGGAAGACCCATCTCAAAATCACAAAATAAAAACATATAAATCCCAGCTACTCAGGAGGCTGAGATCTGAGGATCAAGGTTCAAAGCCAACCCAGACAGGAACGTCCAATTAATCACCAGAAAACTGGAGGTGGTGTTGTGACTCAAGTGGTCAAGTGATAGAGTGCTAGCCTTGATCTGAAGAGCTCAAGGACAGGGCCAGGCCCAGAGTTCAAGCCCCATGACCGGAAAAAAAAAAAAATGCCGAGCATCAGTGGCTCACGCCTGTGATCATAGCTACTCAGGATGCTGAGATCTGAGGATCATGGTTCAAAGCCAGCCCAGGCAGGAAACTCCATCAGACTCTTTATCTCCAATAAACCACTAGAAAACCAGAAGTGGTGCTGTGGCTCAAGCGATAGAGTGCTTGCCTTGAGCTGAAGAGCACAGGGAAAATGCTCAGGCCTAGAATTCAAGCCACATGACTGACAAAAGAAAAACGAAACATAAAAAAATAAAAAAGGCTGCTGGGCGCCGGTAGCTCACGCCTGTAATCGTAGCTACTCAGGAGGCTGAGATCTGAGGATCCCGGTTCAAAGCCAGCCCAGGCAGGAAAGTCAGTGAGACTTTTGTCTCCAATAAACCACCAGAAAGCTGGAAGTGGCACTGTAGCTCAAGTGGTAGAGCGCTAGCCTTGAGCTGAAGAGCTGAGGGACAGCACCCAGGCCCAGAGTTCAAGCCCCACGACCGACAAAAAAATAATAATAATAATAAAGAAGGCCAGCAGGCACCAGCTACTCAGGAGGCTGAGGTCAGAGTATTGTCTGTGAGACTCTTACCTCCCAGGCCCTGAGTTCAAACCTCTGGAGCAGTGCGTGTATGTGCAGGTGTGCACGCATGTGCGTGTGCGCACACCCACGCCAGCCCAGGCCCCCGTCCTGGGTGGCTGGTCCTCAGTGACAGCCTGCTTGCTGTCCGTGTGGGAAGGGCTCTGCTTCCAGAACTCTCCCCCTCGCCATTATTGGGGACATGTGTAAGTGACTACGTAGCTGTTGGCATGTCTCCTGACCGGCCCCAGAGCCCTCTGAGAACTTCCCAGAGCAAGTTTGGAAGACATGGGCCTCATGTTGTCAGCCAGTCCTGGGCATGTGGCTGGCAATGACTGAGGCCAGAACCGGCATTAAATTGATAGAATATCTAGAAACAGAACCACCAGGCCTGGCCTGGCCTCAGTAGGACTGGGGAGCACGGGCTCCAGCCTTGGTGTTAGAGGGCCCCTCAGCTTGCCGCCTGGGTGGGCCCTGGTCTCTCTGGGGTCTGAGGACCGAGCTGCTCTAGTCCCCCATGTTTAAGCTGTTCCCTGCATGTCCCTTCTGCACCCGAGCCGGCATTCCAGCTCACAGCCCCCCAGGGACTCGCCATATTAGAGAAACAGCACCCAACACGCACCCGTCCCGACTCCCACTTATGGCTCATCATGAGTTCACACACACACACACACACACAGAGTCACACATGTACTCTCATCCCCAACTACTTATGTGGTGGTCCTAAATAGTGTGACTGTCCCAAGGGACACATGCCAATGTCTGAGGATATTTTGCACGCGCACACACACACACACACACACACACACATACACACGTGCGCACATGCCAGTCTTAGTACTTGAACTCAGGGCCTGGGTGCTGTCCCTGAGCTCTTCTGCTCAAGGCTAGTGTTCTACCACTTGAGCCTCAGATCCACTGCCAGCTTTTTGGGGGGCCAATTGGAGATAAGGGTCTTTGCTATCCAGGCTGGCTTTGAACCGCGATCCTCAGATCTCAGCCTCCTGAGTAGCTGGGATGACAGGCGTGAGCCACCAGCACCCAGTGGCTTTCACAACAGGCAGCAATGACACCTGGGCATCCTGAGCCCTGCAGGGTGCTGCACAGCGTCCTCAACCTCTTCAAGGCAGAAACCCCCAGTCATGACAGCATGTCCCCTCATATCTCCTGGTGTTTGTGTCCCAGGGGCAGTTGAGACCCTGGCCGCAGCACAAGGCTGTAGAGAAGCCACCACCTTTGCTTCTGGGCAGCCACCAGAAGCCCCCACAGCCTCCACTGGGGACATTGAGGCCCACAAGTGTCCTCCAAGAGGAGGACAGCAGCTTGCCTGTTAGGCCAGGCAGACCCAGGTCATTTCCACATTGATGACCTCCATGGTCAGCTAAGTCAGGGCCTTCCATTCACACAAAATCACTCCTATCAAGCCGGGCGCTGGTGGCTCACACCTGAAATCCTAGCTACTCAGGAAGTTGATCTGAGCATCGTGGTTCAAAGCCAGCCTGGGCAGGAAAGTCCCTGAGACTCAGATCTCCAATAAACCACTCAGAAAACCAGAAGTGGCGCTGTGGCTCAAGTGGTAGAGCACTTGCCTTGAGCTGAGGAGCTCAGGGACAGTGCCCAAGCCCAGAGTTCAAGTCCCATGACCGACAACAAGAAAAAAAGGGGGCTGGGAAGGTGGCTCAGTGGTAGAGCACTTGCCTTGCATGCCTGAGGCCCTGGGTTTGATTCCTCAGCACCACATAAGCAAAAAAGAAAAAAGCCGGAAGTGGTGCTGTGGTTCAAGTGGTAGAGCGCTAGCCTTGAGCAGAAGAGCTGAGGGACAGCGCCCAGGCCCAGAGTTTAGGCCCCACGACCAGACCCCCCCAAAAAAAAAGCTAGGGTGGGAGTGGGGAGGGGCTGTAACCCAGGGGCTATATGTTGGGGCTATCCAACAACCCCCTCCAATACAAACCTAAACGTAACACAGACCTTAAAGCACAGATAACTCTCCCTTCTCTTCCTTCCTCACTGAGCCTGAGGGAAAAGGGAGGGATGGAAGGATGGAAGGCCAGAGGTGGGGAGCTCCTTCAAATCCAGACTGCAAGATGAGTCCCGCCCCCATGAAGGTGACACTGCTGAAGTCCGCAATCAGTCCGGAGTCAGGCGGCCCTCAGCAGGCCCCGGCCCCTGCTTTGGGAGAAGCACCTTTTCTATTAAAGTATGCTTCCTTTCTGTTCATCTTGAGAGAATGTTGTTTTCTGAAGGGTTCCTGCTTTGGCCCTTTGTTAATTATATTTTAGTTACATACATCCTTTTCCTATCAGTCCTGGGCGCTGTCCTCAGCTCTTCAGCTCAAGGCTAGTGCTCTACCACTTGAGCCACAGCATTACTTCTGGCTTTTTCAGCTTATGTGGTGCTGAGGAATCAAACTCAGGGCCTCAAGCACTCTACCACTGAACCACCTTCCCAGCCCCAAGCTCAGTGAATTTTAACTACATCCTGTTAATTCTTTTGTGTGAGCCTGAGCCCAGCCAATAGGAGCAGAGGGGCGGGGTCTGTGGATGAGGGATAAGAAGGGAGCAGCCGGGCTGCTTCCAGTGCTTGCTTGCCTGATTGTTGGCAGATGCACACCTTCCGCAGCAGAAGACTGTGCCTTGCTGGTTCAAACTGGTGTCCTTATTCCTATGCAAGGCCCCAACATCCCGAGCTATTTTGAACACTGCCTCCAAGGCTGCAATTCCTTCTACATAAGTGTTCTCACATAGCTCTGATGACAGGTATTTGACACCACACTAGCTTGTTTTGTGGAGCTGGGGTCTCACTAACTTCCCTAGGCCAGCCTGGATCCCAGTCACTGCAACCTATGTCTCTTGAATAGCCAGGATCACACACACACACACACCACCACCGTCAGGTGCCTGCTTTCAAGACGGTCTAGTATCTGAAAGGAGACAGACTGGTCTAGACAATCACCATCCACTAGACTCCTCAGTGGTCCTGACCCAGGTCCAATGCACAGCCTGATTGCCCAGCAAGGCACAGAGAGGGGCAGCAGCCAAAGTGCAGTCACACAGCAAGGCACTCTGTCCTTTCTATCACTCTGAGCACGTTAACAGGGTCAAAGACCAGACCCCCTGGTCCCCCAAGGTGCCAAGGGCCTTACCTTTTCCCGCACGGCGGGCAGCAGGGCGTTGAAGCACGTGGCCAGGAAGACACCACCGCCGAACGTGTTACAGAGGGACAGAACCTTTTTGGAGCGCTGGGCCTTCTCAAAGTCCATCTGGATGACTTTCACGGGGACCAGGGCGCCCAGCAGCATGAAGAAAAACACACCCACCATGCAAAGGATTTTGGCTACTAATAGCTTCACCATGGTGGTGGCCTAGGATGTGCCGGTCACTGAGATGCCAAACCATGTGTAGACAGACGCAGACGTAGGTGCCACGAGGTGCTACCGCTTCCAGCCACAAGGCCGGGAGCTCATGCTTGCAAGCCGCAACTGTGAATACCAGGATGAGTGTTAGCTGTCAGCTTTAGGGGTAGAGCTGTCCCATCACAGGGGGACTAGACTCCAACCCCCATTCATACACCTGTAATCCAAGCCATTCAGGAAGTGGAGATAGGAGGATCACTGTTTGAAGCCAGCCCTGGCAGGAAAGTCCATGAGACTCTTATCTACAATGAAATCACCAAAAAAGATGGAAAGTGGAGTTGTGGCTCAAGTCACCACTCGCCTTGTGTGAAAAAAAGCTAAGAGATAGTGCGCAGGCCCTGAGTTCAAGTTCCAGTACCAGTGGATACACAGAAAGCCATTCGCTATAACTATCTGTTTAAACTGAAATTCTGCTTCCTGGCCATCTTTCAAAGGGTCAGTAGCAATGTAAGCCTGGTCGTAGACATATTAGGTCCGCCCAGGCACAGAGCAGGACCCTCCCTCCATTGTTTCAAATGGCTTCTCATGCCCTTGAAATAGAATCCCAACTCTTTCTTTTTGTGTGCTGGACTGGCTTTGAACCTTGATCCTCAGATCTCAGCCTTCTGAGTAGCTAGGATCACAAGTGTGAACCATAAGAGTCCAGCTGTGAATCCCAACTCTTCATTGAAAGGCTCAGGCTTGGCATAGCTGAATTCTGCCTGACCCCAGCCTACACTCAACTTTCTCATACCACAAAAGTGCCAAACCTATTCCTACCCCAGGCCCTATGCACAGGTGGTTCTGTCTACAACACTCTTCTCCTCTGAGTCCCCAAGGATGTGTCCTTCACCTTTACTTCACTGCCCCCAGCTCCTTCCCTGGCCAACTTCCACTCTAAACAATCTCCTTCCTGTCCACCAATACCAAGACCTGGCACAGAACAAATGGGCCAGCTATGCCTGTGAATCTCTTCATACAAGACTCAATGGCCCCAACCGGAAACATTACCCTGGATCCCAAAATCATCACTGCTAATAGCAAGAACCTCAGCTCCTTCCTTATCTACGGTTCTCTACCAACCAAGCCCTCCCTCCTCTCCTTCGAACAACCACTTCCTCGCTTCAATTCAGGCTTTAGGGTCTCTGCTCAGACCTCCTGGGTGGGGTGGGGGGGCGGGAAGGACCTGGCCGCTTCCAGCCCCTGTCCTAGCGGTATTTTCCTTCTGTTTTGTGTTCGGGCTGGAGGAGCAGGGGGATTTACTGATCTAAAGCCGTCTGCAGCCGCCCCTCCCTCCAGGCTATGGAGTCAGAACCATCGAGGCACACAGTAGGCGCCCCAGCCCGTACGACGGTGTTGAGGGCGGTCTGGGCGCTCTCACACTGGGGGCTGGTGGGCCCGGGCCGCGGAGGAGGTGGGCCCGCTCATTCATTCATTCATTCATTCACTCGGCACTCAATTGAGCGCCTTCGGGACACCCCACGCTGCCGGACGCTGGCGCCGGGCCTCGCCTCACCGGCCAGCAGAGCCCGCCAGGCCCCTCCTCCAGGCTGCGCCCCGCCGCCCCGTCCTCACCCCCAACCGCACAC